GAGCCAAAAAAAATAGTTCAATTTCTTTGTATGCCTCAACCAGACAAATGCTGATGCTAAATAAAAAAGAGCGTGAACCCAAACAGGATGACGATACAATGAGCGTTGTGCAAGTTTCAATGCACATTCTCTCATTTCGATCATAATCATAGGGATTTGCTGAATGAATTCTTTTACACGGATAAATTCATGACGATTTAGTGCATTCAATGAACCAAGATCTTCAAAATAGTAGTTAAATCACTATTGTGGTTTAAAGTATTTCCACGAGATTGGTAATTCTCTTCGAAACAGAATCATATGTTACCGGAGTTAGCTTGCTTGATTCAGGTTACCGCATGGTTTTAATATTAAGAATTCTTGAGAATAGTGATGGTTTTAAAGTAGTTAGTAAGCATGCACTTTACATTTAGCACATTGTTGATTCCACATTGCTGTGTACAATATGAATCAAACAATATGAAGGAAAACAATGCTAAAAGACAATCGCAAAGTCTCTTCCATCCAGAAATCTAGTAAATAATCACGAAAACAATAAATTTAACAACAAATAATAATAAACTTCGAGGAGATGTGCATCGCAAATCTTCTCAAAACGGTATCTTACACTTCAGACGTTTGTCTGGCTTAAGTCGTCGAGACGATTGAGTTGTTTTGTTATGAAAAGACGGGCAAAACGGAGACGGCAATGTACTCGGGGCGATCAATATAGTGGAAGGCGAAATGAGGGCACATCGAGAGACACACACAAAAACATATTGCATCGATCTATCTCTGTTTGCAGATGTTATACGGTGACCGAATTACGCTATTTGAACAGTGGCGTTCTTACGCAGAATGTGATAGCACATTGGCATTGTATCAACTACGGAAATTGGATTTCGATTTAACGAAATTTTAGCGATTTCATCTGGAAATTCATTGTTTTCCGGATATTCTTGATAGAGACGAACAGGGAATCACGGTTCATTGATTCCGGTGTTTCTTTTTCCGTAGCCGATTCCGTGGGAATTAATTGAACGAGCGATCTCGGCTCGAGGTTTCGCATTGTCTCAAATATTATTGTGGCACTATCGATGGATTCGTTAACGTTTGATTCTAGAAATTTGTCCGATTGCTTATTATCAGTGTATGTACAATATCTGTATTAAGGCATTTCGTTCAGATCCCATACCAGTGTCCAGATATGGAGAAGGTAATCTCAAAAAAGTTAAGGACTTCAAGAAATAAGAAGAAATACTGGCGTAAAGGACCTCAGCTTGCAGATGTTGAACAGTTTATGCACGATGAACATGTTGATAAAAGTGAAGGTATGTCTTACGGCATTCAGAATCTCAGAAGAATGGCGTCCAAAGTATGCCCGACTCACTACGCAGGCCATATGATTGGGCTTTTCTGCTCTTAGATTTCTTCCTATTATAGCATTTTGATTTGTTTGATTTATCTTCGATCTCAGGTGGTGTCTTACGGGAACGAGCCGACGATGCTTTATTCACACTGGATCGAGAGCCTGACGACACCACACAAAAACTCACTCGCAAGCAACTGGCAGCCCTTAACAAGCGTAAACTGTTGGAAAGGTTGGCTACTAATTAATTGCCTTGTTTGAACACGAACTATTTCATCTGAAAGAAATTTCCATAAAAGCCTTTTATCGCTGACTTCGTAAATATGAGATATAGATACTCAGATGTCGAGTGTTACGAATTCACATTTTCCAAATATTAATTTTGAGCAAATCATTCATTTTAACCATTGATATATCGACATTATTTTACTTAATTTGTGCAGTTTCTGCGCAAGCAAATTGAGAATCAATTTGATTTATTTTAGTATCAAGGCGGTAAAGGAAGAAGAAACAGAAGATATTAAGCCATCGAAATCTGAACTTAAGAAAACATTTCCGAAAAAGTCAAAAAGATTAGCACGTTTGGCAAAGAAGCAATCGCAAAAAATTTTAACATCTACATCCAAGAAACCTTACGATTTATGGGCAGATGGTAAGTGGATAATTGTTGAAATCAGTTTCCCTGAATTCGATTTTTATCCGGTCACATGGAAGATATTTACTTCATCTTATGAAGGTCTTCATCCAAAAGTAATAATTTTCATGACTTCTCCATAGACTTTGGTCCTTGAAATTGACGTGAACACTTTTTTTCACTCTATACATGTTATGAATCTCTCCCCATAACTTGAAGTCTTCAAGTTCTAAGCCTTTACTTATGATCGCCATAACTTTAAGTCTTTAAGTTTTACGCCTTTACTTATGAATTTCATTCGCCGTAGATTTCGAGAATCAGTCTCTTGATATATTGGCCACTCAATAGCACTTAAGTATTGTAGGTGATGGAGGCGAGGAACCAACGGATGAAATGATTGCACAAATGAGAGACTATTGTTTGCAAACAACTAAACGTCGAAAACCGAAGGAGCCGTCAACTTTGAAGCACATTACAAGTCTTTTGCCAAAAGTCGAGGTGGCTGGACCTGGAGCTTCGTACAATCCTCCTGTAGCCATGTATGAGGTAGGAGATGTCGCATTGAACTTGAATCCTTCTGACATTTTGCAAAGATTTATGCGGTCACATAGGGGATGTAAACTTCATTTTCGGTTTTTGTTTGTTAAGATTTTAAATGAGTTAATAAGTTTCTACTGTTTTTTTCAGAGTTACATTAATGGAATCGTTGATGAGGAGATAAAAGCGGAGAAGGTTGAGAGCAAGCTCGAGAAAGCGTTGAAACTAGCACCTGGCCAAACTTATGTTTCAAAGGTGAGTGTGGAGTGATAATTATTGTTCGAGGAAGGGATCATATTTGTAATTTGGTTTATCTTTTATAGTAACGATTCAAATTTTCGATTTTTTTTAAATGCTATAATTTGTTCGTACTTCTTTTCCACTCAACAATGTCATGGTTGAAGTGAGGCTTACTTCTGCTATGATCTATCAGATTCAGTAGTTTTTATTCAGTCAGAAAAAATGGCCGAAGAGAGTGCGGGCTTATTTGACAACGAAAAACAGTCAACAAAAGCAGAAGATGATTCAGCCAATCGGTCAGATGAAGGTATCATTTTGAAATTTTGACTCATCTCGAAAAAATTTCTGTTATCCTTCGTGACTTGATGGAGTTGTTTTATTGGATGAATAGACGTTGGAATTTGAATATATTGAGCAATTTTAATTTTGATCATTGCCAGAGATGACGTCAGCAGAAAATGCGAAAAAGTCAACAATGAGACGTAGGACCAGAAAGGAACGACGTGTGGAAGCCTTGGAAAAGCAGAAGAAACTCATCGATGAAGAGTACAAGAGTGTGAAAAGTGCCGAACAGGCTGTATTCGCGTGCGTTTTCGTTGTTTATTTCAGTTGTTTTTCTTGATACCGTGTTTTTTCAATGATAATCAGTAAGAGAGTTTCGTTCAGTTTGAATGAATTGGCTTTGTCAATGTAATTTTCGTTTAAGTGGTTTACCGAAATTACTTTTATAAGTCTTCTAACGGTTATGAAGATTCATTCACTCCGTCGTTGTCAGCGAGATTTGAGGCTTCTAGGAATTTGACTTTTTTTCTTGCAGAGTGAAAAAAATCAACAAAGAAATATCAGAGGAATTGACGCAGGTGAACGAAAAAGCAAAACTACGACGGAAACAAAAGGTCATTTTGTGTTTCGTTCATATATTCAGTTTTCTTCGACTTTTCGAAATTGTATATGTGAATTCGACAGTAAAAGCATTTCTGATAAGCAATATTTCAGTGGACAAAAAAATTACTGGGTACACAACAACTAGGTCGAGGTAAGTTCAAACCAGAGGAACAACCATTCTTGATGACGGATGAATTGACTGGCTCACTTCGTGAACTCAAACCTCAGGTGATTTTTATTTCATCCATATATTCAGTTTTCATCATTTTTTTATTTGTTTATTTTTCAATTTTTCAATCAACTCATTCGAAGGTTCTCCAAAAAGAACTTGTGAATTTGGTATATGTTTGGTAGTGATGTAAGATGCAAGTTGTTGGAAATGCGATTTGTTACAAAGAAAATGATATTTTAAGGGTAACATCCTGATGGATCGATTAAAAAGTCTTCAAAAACGTAATATGTTACCGGTACCCGGAGAAGAGGGTCGCGTGAAGTCGAAACTGAAAAAGAAATTGAAAATCAAAGAAACTGAACGAAGATCACATAAGGAAGTTACGCTTGGCAGTCGTGTTATATGAACAACGATGGCTTAATTCAGTTATATATAAATATATTATAAATATAATGAAGATTAAGACTGCGCCGTGATATGTTATAGTTTTATACAATTTTACAATAATAATAATGTTCTGATAATGCAATGGTTTTGTTGCTATCGTTGTTGTTATATTGTTGTTGTTGTTGTTGGCGTTGTATTCGTAATTTTGTTGTCTTGTTATGAATTTTAAAGATTTGTTATTTCAATGTTGGTTGAATGCAAAGGAAATATTTTAATCAAATAAACCGAATAAATTAATCGATTCCATTTGTCGTTCGTTTCATACAGCATAACACCAAAGCAATCTTAGCAGTTCAGAAAGAGGTGATATTAGATATAAGTGCGTTTTACTGTTGAGAATTTCCATCCTCGTTTGAAAATTTGTCTCGTAATCTTAACCGTAAGCTGTTGGAAATTTGGTTTCTTCAATGAAATTGGGGCGTCGCATATTCTCTGATTTCAGAATTCAATTTCTTTGCATGAGAATATTCAAATGTTTTAGACTGAAATTGATTGTTATGAAGACGGGACTTCATTGGATTTGTATTTTTTGTTTGATGGTGGTTGCTTGAGCAACAGAAGATGTCCAGAAAGGTACGGTGATTTAGTCGCTCTTTTATATGGGTATCATGAGATGGGGGTTACGATGCGAACTGAAATAGATAGACCGTTGAAGTTTTGAGTGTGTGATTTGTTTCCGTGCGACACTCATTGATATCAGTGAATCCTTCTTGAGTTTCTCTACTGAGATCAATTGGGAACTCGTTAACGATCGTATAATCGGAAAAAGCTTTGTAATGCCCTAAGAAAATGAAGTATTTCCAATGTTTACGATACATTTGTCCGGAAAAACTCAGTCATCTCACAGAAGTGGTCCAGAAGTAGTGTTTCAATAGTGCTTAGAGGTGTGAACTCCCTAACATAAGCATATGATTACATATAGAGAGACGAATGCATTTTGTGAAGTTGCTGCAGAATCAATCGTTCGTGTTATTCATAGGGGAATTTGATCAATTTCCAGAAGCCATCAACGGAGCAATCGAATCGAGTTAAACGTCGCAACGCACGTAAAATTCGACTTCAAATCTCGAAACAACGCCAGAAGACATCACGTCAACGTCGCGCTTCCGCTGCTCAACGTCGTTCATCCCAAGCACGTCGCCTAACAGTCGATCTGATGGACCCGTCCGCAAGTGGTCCTTCAACTCAGGTTGAGATTATCTGCAACGGAATATCCCAATTGTAATCGTGTCAAATACCATTAGCCTTTGAATAGCCCATAAAGCATCGCTCAGGCATAACATATCATTTAAACAAAGAATGAAACTTTCACTGCAGAGATGGACTGATTGTTGAAAATTACTTCGCAAACGCAGAATTCTGTTTCATGATCTTTTCGGACAGAACAAATTTTTGCAGATCAAATCGGATCAGGAGCAGACGAATGAGTCGAATCGGTGCATTTCTTTTCCAGTATTGTCATTGTTATCAGATATAATCCAATTGTATTGGAATAAAACGGACACGATTTCCGTGTTACCCCATTTTCAACCTCTGTTTAATCCAAAATTTGACAGTGCTTGACAGAGATTAATATTCATTGCTTTTCTGGACATATGGTTTATCTCACTTGAGTTAATCTTGAATGCAATGATCAGATGATCAAGTATCATCTTGAAAGACATCCATTTTGTCTATGTTGTGCCTCAAGTTGGGCATCAGACATTAGTTCTTCAAGTTCAGTTGGAAGAAGGCGATCTTGGACTTATAGATTATTTCAGTTCTCTTTTCGTTGATGTGAAAATCTTCCAAAGAATGCATGAATTGAAGGGAAGCAGTGCAATCAGCCCCAGAAAGTAGTGACAACGAGGCAATATCAACCGGGCAAACAACCACTTCTACATCATCATCAGTTTGGTCAGAGTGATTTGAAGATCTGAATTTTTTGACAAAAACTAGCAAAACTCAAAGATATTCAATTCAAAGTTTGTCAGAACAATGGAATCGCAGTCTGAAATGAAAGGATAACTGCTCAAAGCTGTGGAATTCTGGTTTCATTGGCGACGAGTCTGAATGTTTTACGTAGTTGAAATGTTTTACATTGCCGTGTCATCAGTGTTACTGTTAATATAGCTTATAGGATAGGAATTAAGACCTCGAAAGGATGCATTTTGAACAACGGCAATATCCTCATCCTCAACAGCACTTAGAGAAGGCGATTTTGACGAGATTGAAGCCTTTTAATGATCTGGTAGATCACCGTTACCGACCACTTCCCACTGATATAAGAACTTACTATAAGTATAATGGCAGTAACAAACGGTAAACCGATCCGAAAATTTCTCAACCGCGTGAAAAAATGTGTCTTAGACCGTTGTGTTACTCATTACTGCAATCGATTATGATTGCATGAAAAGCTATTATCTATGACACGCTCATTTCAAACTGATTTTGATGGATTCTCATTCTTTTCGGACGTGTTCTATTCACTCTCATAGCTATTACATGCGAATGTCGTTCTCTTCATGAGTTTTTCTCATTCATTTCGTCGCATTTCACTTCACAGTTCGAAACAATTTCTTATTCTGTAGCATATACTATTTACTGGATGCGTTGATGAGTGTTGACAGCCGAAATCAACAATGCAGAAATCGAATAGTATTGCTCAACAACGTTCGAGAGTAAAATGATCAATCATAGAGTGTATTTAATGGAATGAGAATTTGACTTTAATCGTTGAGTGAAATGAATGAGAATTTACCAAAAGAGAACACTTTTGGTGATAAAAGCTATGAGAGCGATTGAAACAGCAAGAAAAAGAATGAAAACCCTGTTAGACCCGGACGAGCCAATGATACTCAGAAAATAGGTGAACGAAAAGGACTGCCATCAGATAACTGTGATTCTATCCGATGCCATAAAGCATTTTCACTACAGTATCATTGAAAAGTACCTCTGAAATCGATTATTGAAGGAGATTCAAACATGAACCCGAGATACGAGTCAAAACTGAAAACGACCGCCTGTTGACAGTGCAGGACGAAAATACTGAAATGCTTAGTTGTTAGTCGGTTGCTTCATTTCTTCAACTGATGAATTATTGAATCTTTCAAGAAGATATCTTCAACTTCACTCCAGTTCCAGTGAATAGTTAACAAACAAAAGTTTAACCACTCACAGAATATAACTTGAAGCATCAGCTTATGACATCGCATTTTTGTGATGCTTCGATTGCTATTTGATTTGAGACGTTATCATTTTAATGCTCATTAAAAATCGAATGATGTGTTTACAGGTGAGCCTCTATCGAGCAGCATGTCAAATGAGTCGATCAGTTCACTTTTACGTTCGCTATCTGGCATGAGTGTGGCCAGTGGTGCACCAACTTCCGAGCAAACACAGACGAATGATGGCAATAGAGTAGAACCACAAATCGAATATGATACAACCGAGGAGCATGACCCCGGCACACAAGCAACAGATCATGCAGTCGTGACAAGGCCGGCGGAGGAAGTAAAGTGTGCGACGGAATCAGCTAAAAAACCGTTGATTCAAGAACCAGTACAAGACGAAAGCAATGAGCGACCACCGAAGGATATATTCGACACTGACATGTGAGAGATTCCACTTTTTGAAGTATCCAGAAAATTGTTTCGCAACCTCAGTATGTGGCCCAGTAGACGGACTGACATTTTTGAGGATTCTTCTGCTTAATCGTTTGAAATTTTGCGACTCAACTAATCGCAATTGTGTCATTGAAAGCTGAAAAACACGGAACATATCATGCATAATTCTCAGCAGCTCCTCCATTGATTTTAATCGAATGGCATGACAAGCAAAGTTCTGAACCAATTGTAACATAGTTGTACTGAACAAGGAAAGAACTACTGCTCGATCAGTTCTCCCGAAAAAGTCAGTTATCATCTATCACTGGTACAGTTTATGTGCTGATCATGACTCGATTTATCATTAGCATGAATTTCCACTTCTTTTGCAGTTGTCTGACAGCCGTGAGTTTGACACCAATGACAGATCAACAACGAAGCTTAACGATTTCGTCAGCAGATTTATACGGCGATATTGTGAGACGAATGGATCGAATTGCCGAGACTGTTAGCTCGTAAGTGATAATTATCATTTTGTTCACTTCATTCATGAATAGTCCTTGATGAAATTTCTGCTAAGAACATGTGGAGTCTTCCGTTGGGTTTCACCGATTGAGATTTTAGAAAACCGTTGCAAATCAAACAGATTCTGCAGATCCATTCGCGTAGTTCAGCTGCAGAAATCTACATTTCTGAACATTTCAATATGATTTCTGTTTGTTCGTCATTTGACTATGTATTTTTGGTCGCATGAATGTACCGGTCTTATTTATTTATTTGTTACGTTACCAATTTTTTATATTTAAGATTCGAGGACAAAATCTCCCAACTTGAAGAGAAAACAAAATATTTCTTGGGAACAATCAGATGATGATGAATACATCAAAATGAAGTGCTTCGTTCATTGCACACAACACACCGCATCAACAATGAACAACAACAATAAAATCGCTATTTCTCCATCTCAAAATATATTTAACATGCTTTGATCCAATAAAATACTTGAGATTTTCTGGGAACAATAAACATTTGACCAGAATGCTTATGCTTCTCATGAAGACAACTTGAAATTCCAATTAATCATGGATGTTTGAAAGTGATCGAAATCCCTACTAGCAGCTGCATAACTTTTTAGGGGAAAACGAGAGGCTTACAATTCTCTGGGACATTTTGCTCGAGATGATCATTATTTGACGATGATGAGTCGATTTCACTCGCTAGAAAGATGTATGATCAAAGAAACTCCTAATAAATGACGATATCTGAAACCCTTTTGCGATTCACGTAATGAGTTACTCGGGTGTACATATTCCCTTGTACAAGATAGCAGCAGTGTCCAACGAAATTTGCCTTTATTGCTTTCACAATGATAAGAATGCGAATTCCTGGGTAATTCTTTGCATATGAACTCTATCATAGAGCAAATGAACTCATTCAGATCATTTATATTTGTGATAAACCTTGCTGCCATCAATAATTCTAGTTGCATGTGTTTCGTCGTTGGTTCCAGGGGAAATTTAGACTGATATTCGGAAAACCAGACGAAAAATTTGAGAATACGGATTGAGAAAATGATATTAATTTGCGATGATCGCATCATTTTTGTGGACATTTTGAGTGGTGGCATTCAAGTGCACTGAGACCGTTTTCACCTATGCGATATGACGTACGCACACAATTAGAGGTCGACCCGACTCCATTTTTTTTTNTTTTTTTTTCTTCTATCGTTCAAGGTGAACAGATAAACGACGACGAAAAAGTTGATTAGACAGATAAAATTTTCGGAAAGGGCAAAATAAAAATTACTGACATGCACCTTTAATGTTTGAGTGCATTCCTGGAAATCACTTCAAAAGAACAACCCCTCTATACGGAACCAAATTGCAATGTGACATTGTAAAATGCTCAGTCACTTTTGTGAGTGAGTGTTCGTTCGTTTAACCTTTCGTGATTGATGAGTGAAAGTTACATTGGCGATCATTTCAATCATCCTTTCTTACACAGCACTGTTTATCACTGTCATTATACCGGATATAACAAGAAAATGCATGGAATTCCGTGTAATGTTGTTGTTTTCTGACGTGTTTTTGGTATCTTATTTTGGGAGTCGTGCGATGCCATTGAACAGTCCTTCAACTCATAAAACAAATTAGATGACAGCTTTTGATAGACTGTTTGATCGTGATATGAAAATAACGAATACAACACTAAGGTATGCAACAATCACCTGCATCTTCTGAGTTTCACTAGTAACTGCATGTTATAAGATCAACAGTCTCCTTTGATAAAAAAACAGTAATGAGAGTAGATACTGTGAACTTTGAAGCATTTCATGATATGATGTACTATATATAATATATTTCACCTCTGAATTGTTGCAATAATGAGATCGAAATCTATTGGATTATATACGTATATCCATATTGAGGAAAGCA